ATATACCAAATATTAAGAAATGATACCTATGCGATGCACAGGGAAAAGGTAAGATGCTTTGAGGCACAAGTCAGCTGTTCTTGTATGTGCTCTGACATTCACGTGTCTGGCTTCCTTGACTGTGCTTGTAATCTCATGGTCTTACATAGCAGAATCACTCTTTAACTAATGTTATCTGAGCCAATTACATAGCATATTAATGGAAACAAATCTACTAACGTGTGAAATAATAAAATTATAGCATGCAAGCATTTCTTTAAAAAACAACAACAACAACAACAACAACAACAAAACAGCCAGCAGTGGATTTGACCCATTCACGTGTTAGAGAATGAAGAGATTCCGGCAACTTCTTTTTGTACTGGGACAATATTTTATATTGAAGAGGCTATGTAAGTTTCTTTTTTATTTTCTTAATCCTGTCTGAAATGTTGTTTTTTTTAAAAAAAAATTCTTCCCACAGCTGGGCATCACACCAAAGGCTGGAAAAACTTTAGAATATCCTACAGATGTTTTGGCACATGTAGAAAGCAGTAATACAGTAATAAATGAATCATTTGAAAAAATAACCCAAATCTCTTTCTGACAGATAATGATTCCACATGAAAATCGAACCAGTGAGGCTATGTATAACAAAATGAACATTTCAGAACTCAGTGCTATGATTCCCCAGGTTGGTGAAAACTCTCCAGGAAAATTTCTGTTACTTGATATTTTACAAGTGATTCTGTTTTGTCTATTTGTAAAACTTGGCTCTGTAAATCCTACTATTTGTCACTTTGGTTATCATCATCCTCTCCTATCACACAAAATATATTTGCGTGTGCATTGGGGATGCTTTCTGTTTTAGGGAATAGGAATAGTTTTCTGATACCGACTTAAAGACTTAAGGTCAATTTTGGGCTGGAGAGATGGCTCAGCATTTAAGAGCACTGGCTGATCTTGCAGAGGACCTGGATCCTGGTTTGAGTACCAGCAGCCACATGGCAGCTAACAGTTGTCTGTAGCGCCAGTTCCTGGGGTCCAACACCATTTTTTGACTTCCGAGGGTTTTGCACAACATGGGTACATTTACACACATGCAGGCAATACACTCGTACACAGAAAATAAAAATAATAAATAAATACTCATCCCCCAAAAACCTTAAGGCCATTTTCTTACAACATAGGCACAGGTAATAGTTGGTATTGGCAGTTGTTTAAACAATTTTGTGACAGACCCAAGTTGTTCTATTAAATTTTACTCATCTCATTGTACAAGCTTTAAAATTTTTTTCCTCTGTTGTCTTTATTTTGTGTGTATGAGTGCATTGCCTGCATGCATGTAAATGTACCCATGTAGTGCAATGCCCAAGGAGGTCAGAAGAGGGTGTCAGATCCCCTGGAACTGGAGTTATGGATGGTTGTTAGCCGCCATGTGGGTGCTTGGATCTGAACCTGGGTCCTTTGCAAGAGCAACCAATGCTCTTAACCACAGAGTCATCTCTTCAGCCCCTGTAAAGGCTTTTTGACTTCATGTTTGATAACACGGTTGCAAGGTGACCACTGGAGCTCCATGTACCACACCTGCTATTAGGACAAGAAGAAGGTGGAAGGGCCAATGACATTCACATCTGACTTGGTTATTTTACCAGAGTTAACAAAAAACTTTTACCAGAATATTAATTTAATTCTTATTGAGTAGAATTGGGTGTGTGCCCCCCCCACCACTATGGAACAAGAGGTAGGGAAGTGGGTGCTAGGTTTTCCATTTCACTAGTGGACACAGGCAATGGGGAAAAGGCCTAAGGGGAATCCAATCTACAGCACCAAGCAGTGCCTTAGGGAGAATAGAGTTGCTTTGAGAAATGGAGGTATATTATTTCTTATTATTTGTTTTGTCCTGGTTAAGGAAGGCTGTGATAGGAGAAGAACACTAGAGAACAGATTGGGGTATCTGTGTCTATAGAGGAGTGAGTGAGACTACAGCACATGGGGATGGAAAGGGGGAGCATGCATGTTATAAGAATACTGAGGGAGGGAGAGTAGGAGATGAGAGGATTAAGTTAGGCTAGAATTAGATACCAGGGGCCTGAGGGAACCAGATGGGCAGAGGATGGAGGGAGAAGAGGGTTGGAGCAACTGAGGGTGCACAGCATATATTAACATATGAGGATATCTATTGGTCCAGCTATCTGTGGTACAGAATGCAGGCTCCATTTTTGATGAAGGCCATAGGTCTGAGTGGCAGTGTTCTGACTTTGTGTTCTGGATAAGCAAACAATGAGCAGTTTCATCTTTAATGATCTGGGTGGCATGGCAAAAATGGATTATGCTCAGCCTTTTTGAATGCCTTTCTTCTTACTTGCTGCCTAACAAAGGTTTCATTTTTTTCTACCTTCAGTTTGACTGGCTCGGCTATATCAAGAAGGTCATTGATGCCAGACTCTACCCCCATTTGAAAGACATCGGCCCCTCCGAGAATGTGGTGGTCCGCGTCCCGCAGTACTTTAAAGATTTATTTAGGATATTAGGCTCTGAGAGGAAGAAGTAAGAACTTTAATGTACACTTGACTGTGGCTTTTGTTTTCTCTTTAAATTAAAAGTGCTTCCCTTTTTCATGTGCATTGGAAATTGCTTTGAAAGAAAGTTACAGCAAAAGAATGGTAGGGAAAATTATGGTACCATTTGTGATAACTTGGACCACATCATTGTGTGGGGTAATTTCCTTGTGGTGATGACAACAAATGCACAGTATTTTTGCCCCTTATTTCTGGTCTTTCCCCATACTGTTCTCTCTGAGAGCCTAAATTGTTTATTAGTTTTGGGAACTAGTTATGTAATGATGTTATTTCCTGAGAGTCCTGTATGAACATTTTTTTTCTACCTCATTCCTGGTCTTTTGCTGTATTTTTTTCCTTCCTGGTTTGTTTTTTAGTCAGTAAGTCACTTTCTGGCAATAGACCAAAGTACCTGTGTGTCGCAAAGACATAAGACCAGTTTAAGAGCCGTAGGAAAATTGAATGGATGAAACAACTTTAGGAGCTGTCAAATTTTGCTTATTTTAAAGAATGTTTTAGAATGTGTAGTTTTGCTAGTTTAGCACTACAAAGAAAAGAAGTTCTAAAAATACTCAAGAAAAGAGAAGTTTATATCTTCATTAGGCCATTCAGATTTGACTAGAGAAAATGAAACATGAACAAGTTTATAAACTTAGTTGACTAACCTAGGCTGGCCTCTGATTAAAATTGTTTTTTATTATTCAGATTCTGGCTATGTTACCAGGTGTGTGTGTTTTTTTTTTTAAAGGACAAAGGTCCTAGGAATAAAACATAGAATCTGACTTTGAGCCACATGGAAATTCTGAGACTCTCACTAAAGCACTGTTTATGATATATTCCAATGAGGAAAGTAATCCATGTTTGTTGAAAACACACAGACACAACACAGAAGAAACAATAAATTCACTTCTGCTTATATAATTTAGAGATAAATACTGGTCCTTTGGAAATTTTCTAAGTGAGAATTGAATCTGTTGGTAGGTGAGTGTATGTGAGGCTGATCCTTGTTATTCCAGCATGCTGTACACAGCACATGACACCTACAACATCCTCTTAGGCCTCCGTTGAAAATAAGGATACCAAGCTCCACTTCCCCCATAGAATCTGATGTAGTAGGTCTGAAGGTGCGTGGGCGCAGGAGCAGAAATCCAGATTTTAAACAAGCACTGCAGGACAGTCTTGTGATTAGATTTTTGGGAGTAGGGAGGGCAGGGACATCACTATATCAGAAACCTACTTTGTACATGCTTCCTAGCTCTAAATTATAGGTTAAGCTTACCTTATCCAAAGTACTTAGACCCAAAAGCAGTTTGGGATTTTGGATTTTATTCTCTGATTTGGAAATATTTGCAGGTACATAATGAAATATCTTAAGAATATACAAAAATCACTTATGTTTCACATATAAATTATACATGCAGCCTAATGTTAATTTTATACAATATGTATAGCACACATAGAGTTGAGGAACCCTAATAAAAAATCTCTGCTATAAAAGAGAACCCAAATGCTTTTCTACTTCTGTATGCCATTGTTATTGACTGCATTTTAGATTGTCATGCGAGCGTCCATCAAAATGTGGTATTTGCCATGTAGGATACTGACTGTTCAGCATCGACGGAGTCAGTTTTCTCTGATGACTCTGCCACTTCATTCTAAACTAGTAAGAACGTGTGGAAATTGTGTTAATTTGATTTTCCCCAAAGCCTAATTTACAACCAGAAAAATCTGGTGGTGATTATATTTTAGAATTGTGGGACTTTCCATAACAACAGGGATCAAGAAAAATTGTGACTGGAGGGAAATTTTACTCTAGTACCTGTCAAATTGATAAGTTAGACCAATGTAAACACAGAGAGCAACCATAGCAGAAAGTTTAGATATAAAATTCCCTGAAGAAATTATGTCCATACAAAATTTGATTTCAAAAATCAAGACAAAGCCCAAATGTTTTAAACAGCTTATTTTTCAACATCCAGCTCATCAAAAATGATGGAAACTGTGTATTTTAATGAGATTTTAAAAATACTGTATGTGTTTTGAAATCATTGGCAGCAGTCTGCATGTCATATTAAGGTTGCTGATGAGGGTTTCTTTCCTTTGGATGTTTTTAAAGAAATGTGTCTTTTTTTTTTCTCTGTCTCCTTGATCCTTTTCTCTATTAATTCCTTCTCTCCCTCCTCATCCATGTTGAACATTTGGCATAATGGGACTAGTGTGAATTCAGATGTTACCTTCAAAGCTAGAGTCTAGAAAGCTGAAAGGCTGGTTTGGGCTCAAGATGCACAGAGAGACGGCTTTAGTTTATTGTTCCCAACATCCTCCCACCTGTCCTCTGAAGGTGCCATTGAATAAATAGCCAGCCAAGGCATCTCATGATGGGTGGCTCTGCTCTCGCTCTGTTCTGAGAATGTACTGTTGAAATCATACACAAATCATTGTGATGTGAACCACCATTAAGATTAATAATGCTCTTTGGCCTTAGAAAAGTTCCCTGAGTTGTTCCCATTTTTCAGACAAGGAAGCTGAGCTTCAGTAATTTTTCCAAGTATACACCTCTAAAAAGCAAACATATTTCAAAGTGGTTCACCATCACTTTTATGTTCCATCCCTTTGTTCTATACATGTTCCTGTATGGAAAATAGATATTTTTCCAGACAATTCTTGGATGGTTTTAGAGATACTGGTTGAAATGCCATATCCAAGATACTTCATATCAGAAGTGGTTTAGAGTTTACATTTTTTCTGAATTTGAATATTTGCATGTTCAGGATGGGACCTCATTTGTGTTTCATATACACCTTCAGTTACATAGGTTATTTCACATTCTGCATATACTGTGCCTTCATTTTATGTCATGTCACATGATGACATGTAGAATTCTTCACTTGTAGTCTTGTGATGATATTTTAAAAATTTCAGATTTGGGCAGCATTTTGGATTTCATTTTTGCAGGTTAGAGATGACCAGCCTCTGCTAGCATATCTCCAGTTAGATGTTGGTAGTGTTGGTAATTCTATTATTTTCAAGATTCCAAGGTACCTTGGGTTAATATCAACTGCTCATTTCTTGGCTGCTTCTTCCACCCTTAGATCACTCCTACTGCTAACCTGGTGGGATGAGGCCTTTCTTTCTAAATGATTGGCTGTGAGGATAGTAACAAAGAGTTTTGTGGTACCTTGGATTGTGAATGCTATACAAGCATTCTAACATTGAACCACAGTTCCAGCCCCTGACTCTTTGGTAACTGGTACATGGCACAAAACTAGAGCAATGAGAACCCCAAAGGTGGTGATACCAGAGACTACGTTGGCTCCTGGAGTTCAGGGAGCAGGTGGCCAGAGTGGGGTGTTGGACGCATAAGTCAGAGGCTGCCACAGGGAAGAAGAGTTGGTGGTCCAGGTGGAGAAGTGAGGAGGTAGGGAAGTACTATATCCTCAAGTTACTCACATCTCTTCCTAACTCCATGTTTAGTGACCCTACATCCATAGTGTAAAATCATTATGGGAAGTCTATGTACTATAGAAGTTGGCAAATGGTTCAAATCTTTTTTTTTTCATGTTATAGGCATTTAACGAAATGTTACAGGGCAAAGGGCATTGCAGACTTCACTTACTTCCTGTCTCCTGTATCTTTTCCTCTTGACTTCTCACTTAAGGCTGGCTCAGACTTACCATCTAATTTGATCTGAGGAACAAGAGAATATAAATATGAGAGAGAAACAGAGACAGAGACAGAATGAATATGAACAAGGGAGGGTGATGTTGGAGAGAATTATCTTGGGCTTTTCTTCTTTTAATGTCTAGCCTCGTGGCCATCATCTACCTCAACATTTTCAGTGGGCTGATAAGCAAACCCCTGGGAATTTTACCAAGCTTTTGCCATTTTTCCTGATTTCAGTTTTTATTTTCATGTAAAGCAAGCACAGAGTATATTTAGATGATTTTTGTTGGACAGGTGCTCCCAAAGCCTTATTGACAAAGTGTTCTGTTATGTGGACCTCTCACGATGCTTAGTTTTTCAGAAGGTCATCTAGGATCTTGTTCTTCAAAGTGTGGTTCACAGACATGTAGTATGGACATGACCCAAGAGCTTACCAGAAATCCAGACTCTTAGGCTCTTCCCTAAATTTACTGAATCAGGAGCTACAATTTCATAAGATCCTTAGAGATATATACATTAAAATATACATATTAAAATTTCAGAAGTACTAGAACTTAGGAAGTCTTAGTTGAGCTATGTATTCAGGAAATTGAGATGATGGGGATTTCTTAGAATATCAGTCTCAACCCTGGCATATATCAGAATTCCATGTTGGACTTGATAAAACATATATTACAGTTGCTAATTCATTAGATTTGGGGTAGGGTCCAGGAATTTTCCACCAGGTTTTCTGGTGATACTTAACCTGCTGGTCCAAGGATGTAGTTTGAAAATTACTGCCATAGGGTAGCCTATAAGATTTAGGAAGTTCTCATTGGCTCTTGAGAATCTTCTTGAGAACTTTTCTGGCTTACTTCAGATAGTATGTTTGATGATGAGGAGCAAAAGCAAGCTTGAACTAGACTCCGGTGACTGAATTTACACTGAAGGACATCTGGGTACAAATGCTTGACTGGATGGGACTTAATGTGTATGGCAGAATACATGAGGTCTGGTGGGGGGATGGGAGCATGGATGGGGAGGGGGCCTAAATTTGATTAAGAACTATTGTATGAAATTGCAAAAGCCCAATTAAAAAATGTAAGCTTGAGTATGAAGATGTAAATCTTAGTTCTAGATGCAACACATCTTTGAAAGTCCCTTGACCTCTGACCTTTGTTTTCGCCTTCTGTAAATGGGGATAATAATAACCACTCCAAAGCACTGTTTCAAGGATTTTATCTCTTAAATGTAACATAAATGTGACTGATAATGACTGAATCACGGCGTTCCTGGTATTGTGATGTTAACACTCCTAAGCTGTACCCCATAGTGCTCTATCAGCGTATTTATAACACAGTGGAGCAACTCATCATTGACATTGTCCTGCTGTGTGAGCTTCCCAGCATTCCATCTTCCAGCTCTCAGAGGTGTCTTGTTACGTTATCATCTTAGTGATGCCTTGGCCAAGAAGGCCTGACTGCTGTTTTATGATCCCCATGGATTTCTGCAAAGCACCTTTGGTGAAGTGTTTTGAGGTTTCTGTGACTGGTCAGGAAATTGAATTTGAATTACTGGTTTTCACTAATCACTGTGTGGTGTATGGAAAAGCACACAGGCTTTAGACACACCTGGCTCTGGCCTCGTTTCCAGGGTTTATTATGGTGGTTCTTATACTTGGCTGCACATTGGACTTGGTGAGGGGGAGGTGGTACTTAATGACAATATTTATGTTAGGTCCTACTGTAGACGTTGAGATTTAATTTGACTGGGGTGGCCTAAGCATCTGGACTTTTCAAAACTCTCCAGGTGTTTCTATTTGTCTGAGACCCAATGACTATGTGAAAAAGAGCTTACTTAATGTTTCTAAGCTTCAATGTATGTACTCAGCTAAAAGCTGCAGGAGTTCAGAGGCTATTTTTCTCACCTTTCCATGTCCCTAGTACCCAGAACTATTAGTGCATACCGGGGTGCTCAGGATGGAGTCCATGAAAAAATGGTGTCTTATGTATTACAGTGTTCCTTCAATTAAGAAAAAAACCATAAGCTGATATCTTGAGTTCTCCACTGTATTAGTTACTCAAAATACCTGAAAAAGGCAAGTTAAGAAAAGTAGCGCTTATTTTGGCTCATAGTTCGATGGTACCTACAGTCCATCATAGTAGGGAAGTCATGGTCACTAGAGATTGAGGGAGCTGGTCATATTTCATCTGTAGTCAGGAAGCAGAGAGAAGTGAATGTTTGTGCTTTCTCCTTTTTATACCAACTCATAGAATGGCACCTCCCACATGTGGGTTGGTGTCCTCACCTCAAGTAACTCAGTTCGGGTACTATCTCCCAGGGATTTACAGAGGCTTTTTTTTCTAGGTGATTCTAGATTCTTTCAAGTTCACACTTAACCCATCATACCATCTACAGGTGCTAGGTTCTTAGGTCTTTACCTTTGTGAATGTACCTGGCTTACTCGGTCAACAGTAAGTGCTCAGTAAACATTTCTTATCTTGTTGAGGAGTAGGCATATGTAGGCAAAAAGGAAGGACCTAAGATGATGGGTTTATTTTAGTGGCCCAAGCAGAACAAGGCTGAGGGGAAGAATTCAATTATTTGGATGGTGGACTCTGAGGAGAAATGTGCATACTCTAACAAGGTCCCTTGGATTCAAGAAAAAAATTTTAGAATTATATTTTCATTTTGTAAATTAAAAATTAATTAGACTTTATAGAGTTATACTATATTCATGGACCTATTGTTTAGTTCTTATGGCAGATAAGAGAGGGTAAATTGTTACCATTACTGGTTTGTTTTCATTCAGTAAATTGAAAATCTTGATGTTTGCATACTTGTAGATATATGAATTTTATTACTTATTCTAATTCTCACATTGTGAAGAAGTGGATTAATAATTCTTAGATAAATGAGAGTTGAAGCTATGACTAATATAAGTACAAGTGAATGACAAGAATATGGCAAAGTAGGCCATCTTGGTTAGCCAGAAGAGAAAAACGAAAAAAGATTGAACCAGATCTGATAAGGGTATGTCAAAATATTTAGAACAAGCCAAGAAGCCGATATGAAATGTAAATTTATATAACCTGTCATAGTAACATAATCCTATGGGGATAATGTATTAAAGTATGACTGTCACGATGTTTGAAGGATTAATTAATGGCTTTGAAAATAATTTTATCTTTAAGCATTGCTTTTTCTGTATTTATTAAAAATATTCTTAGAGCTAGGCATGATGGTACATACTTGTAATCCCAGCACTTAGGAGATGTAGGAATGAAGATTGTGAGTTTGAAGTCAGCCTGGGCTACATAGTGAAAATTGTCCCCCCAAATATTCCTAGTATATTTATATGTCTGTCTATGTAAACTAAAACAAACATGTGTATGCTGTGTATATGCTGAAAAAATTTTGCTCATTGGAGTGCATGTCTACTATGGCAGAGTATTATGCAAATGAGTATATAGGTTTTTCTTGATGGGTTGGTTAGTATCATCACGTTCATGGTTTTCAGTGACCCAGGAGCCATCTCTGGAATGTGTGTTATTTGTCACCATGGTAATGGCACAGCTGAGAGGGAATGAGTCATTAAAAATCCATCATCATTACTGAGTTAGAAATGAACTCAGACCACACATCTTTCTGGGGTCGGGACATCTTTTGCTTATATAAAAAGACAACTCTTAAATATAACATAGTTTTGAAAACATGTATTGGGGTATTACAGGAGCATATGAGATTCTTCATACATTTAGAGGTCAATGGAGACTTAAGTATTCACTCTGTTAATTATTTTTTTATTTGACTTCACAATCTCCTTGTGAGGTAGGGAATGTCCTCATTATTTCATTAGAAAAGACTTGTCTGAGCTTACATATTTAAATTTTATTTATTTATTTATTTATTTTTATGTGTATGAGTGGTTTGCCCACATGCATGTAAGCACACCTGTGCATGCAGTGCCCATAGAGGCCAGAAGAGGGCCTCAGTTCCCTTGAAACTGGAGTTACAGACAGTTGTTAGCCTTGAGAACAGAATTTGGATCCTCTGTAAGAGCAACCAATTCTCTTAATTGCTGGGCCATCTCTCCAGACCATAAGCTTACCCATTAAGTCATTATAGAACCAAGATATAAATTTAGATGATTAGTATTAATCAGTATTTTGTTTTTAGTTTCTGAAGACCAGCAATACATAGACATTGGACCAAGTCATCTATAATTTGAGGGTATTCTGATTTCCAGACATGGAAGGCTTATCAAGAGTGGATTGAGTGTCCTGGGGCTGGAATCTTCAGCCAATTTTGTTTGTGCTCATTGACACTGTATCATCTTTGCTGACAGTTTTGCAGAGGTGTTCCTCAGGGAATCAGATATTAACCTAAAATGTAATAAATGTGCATTTCTCTCCATTAATAGGACCATTGCCAACTATTTGGTGTGGAGAATGGTTTATTCCAGAATTCCTAATCTTAGCAGGCGTTTTCAGTATAGATGGCTGGAATTCTCAAGGGTAAGTTTACTAATATTGAAATGTTGCTTTTCTGGAAGAGTTTCCATGCCAGCACACTTTGTATGTTAGCTTGGTCAACAAAAAATCATCTTTAGGAGCCAGGCATGGTGGCACATAACTTTAGTTCCAATACTAGGGAGTCAAAGGCAGAAAGGTCTGTGTGGGATCAAGGCCAATCTAGTCTACATGTTGAAGTCAGGTCAGCTGGGGCTACAAGGAGATCCTGTCTCAAAAAACAAAACAAAAGAAAATAACTCCCCCCAAATCATCTTTGGATGGAATTCAGGGAGTTTGCAGCTCCAACTGTAATATTTTTGGTATTTCTTTTTATTCAGGTAAATATTAGGTCAAGTAAAAGTAGCCTCAAGCTCTACTTTGGGGCTATAGGATGAAACTTTGGGTCATCAAGCTGTTTTCAAGCTTCCTTCTTTATCAGGTTATTTCTACTTTCCACTTTTTCCAGTGCTTTTAACTGGGTCACTAAAATTATAACTTTAATGTTCCATAGTGATATGTTATTATCTATTTTTGTTATGAATATTACCATATATTAATTTTTCTCTTTTTGAGAGTTTCATATATTTATATTGTATTTGTATTTATTTTCACCCCTCTCAATCCCCTCCAATTCCTCCCATGTCCACCCATTCTCTCACAATTTTTATCTGCTTCTTTATTTTTTAAAAGATATTTTAGTTATTTTTATTTTATGTGTATGAGTGTATTGCCTGCATGTATGTAAGTGCATCCATGTTGTATAGCACCCACAGAGGTCAAAAGAGGTCATCAGACCCCCTGGAACTGGAGTTATGGATAGTTTTTAGCCACCATGTGGGTGCTCTGCAAGAGCAGCTAATGCTCTTAACCACGGAGCCATCTCTCCAGACCCTAGTTTTAGTTTTTTTTAAGAATTCTCCACACTGATTTCTATAGTGGCGGCACCAGTGTGCAATCCCACCAGCAACGAATGAAGGTTTCCCTTTCCCCACATCCTCACCAGCATTTGTTGTCATTTGTTTTCTTGATTTTTTCCATTCTGACAGGGATAAGATGAAATCTTAAAGCAGTTTTTTTTTTTTCATTTTTAGTTGAATTTTTGTGATTTCCATACCATATAGTTTGATAGCATTTAGATCTGCTCCCATTTCCACACCTTCCCCCCTGCCTCCTCTGCCCAATTTATTGAGCTCTCATTATATATAATGGCCTATAGAGTATGATTTGTGTTCCTCAATGTCCTTCAGTGTTGTTTGCATTTCCTTGATGGTGCCTTTAACTGGGTCACTGAAATTATAGTTTTAATGTTTGTTAGCGATATGTTACTCTCTTTTGGAAGTAGTTCAAATTTATTTTTCTTAAAGTTTTCATTAGCAAACAGTTGTGATAACTGCATATTTGTGGGGTCCAGTGTGATTTTCATTTTAGAATAGGCTTTAAAAAATTTTATTATTTTTTATTTTATATATATGAGTGTATTGCCTGAATGTAGGTAGGTGCACCCGTGTCATGCAGTTCCCGCAGAGGTCAGAAGAGGGTGTCAGATCTCCTGGAACTGGAGTTCTGGATGGGTGTTACTGCCATGTGGGTGCTGGGAATTGAACCCGGGTCCTCTGCAAGAGCAGTCAATGCTCTTAACCCCTGAGCCACATCTCCAGCCCTGTGATGTTTTGATCTATGTGTATATTATAGAAATATTCAGTTAAGTTAATTAACATATGCATTACCTCACTAATGTGTTTCTTGTGTTAAGAATACCAAAGGTCTACTTTAACAAAATTGAAATGTTATTATTGAAATGTTATGATTATCATTAACTAGGACCACTGTGCATGATATAACAAATACTGCATAATTTCACATATTTGTGGAATCTGAAGTAGTCAGTTTCATAAAAACCGAGAGTAAGAACATGGCTACTAGAAGTTGGGGCAAGGAGGGCTGGGAAAGGGGAGATAAGTATCGAAAGGTACAATATTTCAGAGTCCAGAGTGCTAACCATTACATGATGGAACCAGGGTACAACATTTCAGGTAGACTGGAAGAAGGTTTGATGATCAGTTTCACTGAGACTATGGTTTTCAAGAGTCTCCATGTTCCATACGTACATGGTATCTATAGAGGTACCAGGATTCATTTTAAATTTGGGGATAGAGCTGTATCTTTCTTTTAATTTAGATATGCAACCTTAAATCTATCCTAATTCTGCTAGATCCACTTTAATTTCATTTCCTGTGAGACACATCTTAAGTGCCTTCTCCCCACTCACCTGACTCTCGGGTCTTTTTTGTCACCTACTTCTGTTGCCTCCTGACTTATACAAACAGAAGTTATTTTGATGTGCATTTCTAAGGCTTGTGACTACTTCTGCCACCACTAGAGGACTTACGGATTCTGTGGCTTTAAAAATAGTTAAAATAAATAAGATATAATGTATTAACATCTCATTGCAAAGAACACCTATAAATGATGACTGGAGTTGCTTGATCTATCTACAAAGAAAATAGGAATTTATTTTATAGTGTTCCCAGAAATGTTAATTGTGTTTATTTTTTAAATCTGTAATATAAGACGTGTGCATAGAAGTAAAGTATGTCATTACTGTAGTTTAAAAGTTTTACACAATAAAATTTTTGCTGTATGTTTTCATTGAATGATTTAGTCCTGTCCTCAGGCAAGCATGAATAAAAGTAAAATAAAGCAAGCAAACACACAAAAACACCCGAACAAAACCAAACCAAACGAAAGGAAACCAAAAAGAACTAAAAAAAATTTTTTTTATCAATTGACGGTAAACTGAATGTCAAATCTCCAATCTCATTTACCAAGTATTTTAGTTACCAGAGAAACCAGCAAGCACATGAATTTGTAGTGAGCCACTACACTTGGAGAGTAATAGGTCATTTGGGGTATCTTTTGGCCTTTTAAAGCCATTAGAATATAAAGTTACTTTATAGGGGATAGACACCATAAAACAACTACTTATATTTAGGTCATACCAAATAGTTAAGATACAAAACAAGTAGATATTTTTGGTGTGAATGTATTTTTAACTCCTATGGATCACATAAAAGATGGTACCCAGCTGCTTTCCACCCCCACTGTGAAGAGAATGAGAGAGCGAGGTGTAAGAAGTAGCGTGTGAAAATTTGAGGTTAGGTATAAGGGGATGTTTCTTGAGCATGAAGTGCTAAATATAATATTGAATTGCCAAAGAAGGTTGTAGGATCTCTTTCTCTGGAGGTTTTAAAAATAGCTTCATTCCTTACCTCTGAGAGGGGTCATGTTCCCAGAAAGCAGAGGAAGGAGAGATGTATTTAAGCATTAATCCCTTTTGCCCTGCTCCAACAACCTGGCTCTAACATCCTGCAAGGGGTGTTTCAGGCCACTGTTCTCAGGGCCTCCTTCCCACCCTCACTGTCTGCCTCCCCCGACTCCCAGCCTCCAGAGACAACTTACATGGTATTTATTTCTCTGCTTTAGTCCCCAAGAGTAAACCCTCAAACTTTCCAAGTCCTGCTTTCGAAGTCCCTTATTTGTTTATAAATGTTTTCTTATCATGGTATAATGGGGACAGATGGGGAAAGCATTTACATCTGCATTTTATTTGTTTACCAGTTCATTCTCTATGACACAGTATAAATAGGCTCCCTGAGTTGTTCATAGTGGGCCATGTCCTGCTGTTCTGCTAGGAAGAACTTTGATCACCAATGATTCTAAACCTTTCTTGATGTAACTTCAGTTCTCAATAGAAACTAAGTACTGTCTGGATCCTTGAGTAGTATCCCTATGTGTCCCAACTGGCTGCAGAAATTCTATGCCATTGTCCACATGTTTTGCTTAATGGAGAAAATTGAAAGAAAAAAATGAAATTCATCATTTTTTTCACCATCAAAACATTTTCATTCAGTTGTAACTCTAGCTAGGGATAAGCAGAATTCCATTTTTATGTGATTTCAGTTTTGCTTTATTATATGGCATATGTATGTGAGATGGGATGGCTAGTGTTTTGTAGACAGCTTTTTTCAGGTGGTTTGAATACTTTTTCTCAGCAATAAGTTTTATTCAAATAACACTCAAATTGTATTCATTATTTTCTGCAGGTAATCCAGGGGACCACAACTTTGCTACCTCAGTGGGATAAATGTGTTAACTTTATTGAAAGTGCCCTCCCTTATGTTGTGGGGAAAATGTTTGTGGATGTGCACTTCCAGGAGGATAAGAAGGAAATGGTAAGTGCAGCTTCCCAGCTGATAAATCCAAAACAGAACAGTGGCAGTCTAACCAGATCTGATGAAGAGATAATAATCAGTAATCTGTTGTCAGCCTTCTGGGGGACAGAGATCACGACGTCTTCCATTGGCTTCTTTGCATTTCTCAGGGAAACAGGAAGAGAGGTCATCAAATGTGAGGTGGCGAACAGACTTGAAGGTTGCAGGAGAGAGAAAGTGTGAAATTGCTGTCCAGAGGGCTGGGTCAGTGACAAGGACATTTAATATGACTGCTTGGAGGCAGGCAGAGTCTAAGTCTAGGTGAGGTTCAAGGCCATGAATTTAAAGACAGATTTGTCGCCATGGTTACACATTCTTCTCCAACTGTGGCAGCTTCCCTGGAGAAGAGTGTATGTATTTTTCTGCAAGTGTTATTGAGGCACATTTGACATATAAAAAAGTGTATATATTCAAGCTGTACAATGTGATGATTTGATACACACTGTAAGCTGATTACCACAGTGAAACAAACACATCCATTACTACACGTTTTGGGTTTGTATGTTTTATGGCCTGTGTGTCACTATTCCTGGAGAGCCATGAGCAAATATCTACTCACCTTAGATAGGGAACTAAACAGAAATCAAACTAAGGATACCGCCAAAGTCCAACTTGATGAATCAATGAGTTTTTACTGGGGTTGCTTACAGGAGGGTGGGTGGCAGGTTGGTTACAGAAGGGAGAATGAGTCAAAGGCAGATGCATTAGCAAAGCCCACCCCACTATTGGTGACAATTCACAAAAGCTGGAATCTCAGAGCTCACTGTGTAGGCAGCTTGACATGTCAGAAAGTGCATTCTAGGCAGCTCAGCTGGTCTCTTCCAGGCAGTTCTGCTAATCTCTCTTCCAGGTAGCTCGGCTGATCTCTGCCTCCTCAGCAGTCCCTACTGCTTATATATGCTTGGAGAGGGAGGGAAGGGTCTAGTGCACGTGGTCAGTGTCAGGGACTTCCTGAAACTTTTGGGTTGTTTACTCCTTAAGTCCTAAGGTGTCTCCTTTTAGAATTTCCTGAGCTTTAAGAAACTTCTTTTAGAACTACTTTTCTTCTTTTTCTTTTCTTCCTTAATCTAAAAAATATTTTATTGAGTTTTTGTGCATTTCATATATCTTAATATTATGCCCCTCCCTCATCCTGTCCCCCTATTCCCCCTACCAGATTTCATGCATTCTATCATGTATGTTAAGTCCTATCTGGCCAAGTATCTGTACCCAGATGTCCCTTGGTGCAAGTTCATCCACTGGGGTCTAGTCAGCCTATCTAGAGTCACTCCCATAAAGAAGATCTCAGCCGGGCATAGTGGCGCATGCTTGTAGTCCCAGGACTTGGGAGGCAGAGGCAGGTGGATTTCTGTGAGTTCGAGGCCAGCCTGGTCTACATAGTGAGTTCCAGGCCAGCTGGGGCTACAGGGAAACCCTGTCTCAAAAAGACCAAAAAAAAAAAAAAAAGAAGATCTTCTCTCCCTCACCCAGCAGTAATCAGTTGCCAATAGTTCCCCGGCTTATGTCTTAAAGAGCTTCAGAGGAAATTGCTCCTCAACATAAGGACATTTAATATGCAGGCTCTTAGCAAATTTCACATTGTTAGAAACTAAAGTCTTCATGCTGTACATGAGGGCACCAGAACTTACACATCATATAAGTTCTTACATGAACGTTTCTACCATTTGACCAACATTTTCCAATTTCCCACTTTGCCCCAAAAACCACATCTACGAGTTTAACATTTTTTTAGACTCCACATATAAATTTTAGCTGTCTCTCTGCCTGGCTTATTTCACTTAGCATAATGTCCTCTATCTATGTTGCTGTAAAAGACAGACTTTCCTTGTGTTTTATGGCTAAATAGTAGACACACATCATATTTTCTTCCCATTTCCCTACTGTTGACCATCTAGATTGATTCCATATTTTGGTTATTAGGAAAAATGCTGCAATGAACATGGGGTTGAGATGACTCTTTAATGTCCTTAGTGTCATTTTATTTTGAAATATAACCAGTAGTGGGATGGCTGGATTGTCATTGTAGTCTTATTTTTAAATGTATGGGGATCGTCCACACTTTTTTCCTTGATGGCTGTACCGATTTATATTTCAATCATTGAACCATCAATGTACAACACTTCTTTTATATATATACACTTGCCTCTTTTGACTTTCACAGTAGTTTTCCTAACAGGCACGAGGTACTATTTCACTGTGATTTTTGAATCACATTTCCTTGATTAGTGATATGTAGTACATTTTCATACACCTCTTCTCTATTTGCATATATTTGGAAAAAAGGTCTTTTGTTCATTTCTAATTAGGTTATTATTACTGTTATTTTCTGGATATTAAAAGTGGTGTATATTTTGAGTTATAGATTTGGATTTAGCCATATTTTTGTGTGAATTTTCTTTTGGTGAAGTATCTTTTGCCAATGCTATGAAGGAAAATATTGTGGTATGATTCACTGAAGTAATACTGTATAATCCATCAGATACAAATATATAAGCATATTGGTCACAGGTAGTCTATAACTATTGAATTCAAAGGCAAACACACAAAGTTTATTAAGCCATGGTTATTGAAATGGTTGATATTATGTCTTGATAGAAAATAATACCAAATGATGAGTATTGTATATCATATAATGGGATTTGCTTTTTTTCCCCTTTGTTAAATTGAATTTTTGCGAATATCATACAATATATTTTATCCCTTCCTTTATCTCACTTCTTACCTAACCCATCACCAAATTCTCTCTCTCTATATATATATATATATATATATATATATATATTCAGTGTAAGGTCATTCACTTGAGCCTAGTTAACATACCAAGCGTTTTACCCTTAAATGAGACCAAATCTCCCCCTCCCAGCAGCCATAGATTGCTAATAGTTCCTCACATAGGGTTGGGGTTTCTTTCCTAGTTTCCCACATCTATACTGGGATTTTGTCTGACTTAAGCGTACGTGGGATTTATGCATGCTGCCACCATTGCTGTGAATTCACATGAAAATGCAATTTGCTTTTAACTACCATGAATATAAATGCATTGTACTTTATTAATTTGTTTTTACTACTTTGGATAATTTGGAGAATTTTTGTCAAGTTTGAGACCTTCTTTTTTGAAACAAAAGGCCTTCTTCCAAATAGGTCAACTGAGGAATGAACCCTTTGTTTCAGCATACTCAGTATGCTTAAATGTTTTGTTTTGCTTTTTGGTCAGAGTAAAGAGATGGAAAACATCAAATAATTATAGCGATAATGTTAAAACATCTGGGCAAGCCATAAATACAATTGACAAATAATGGAATTAAAAAATACATATAGTGAAAGAGGTTTGGCTGAAGTATTTTAACTAATATGAAAATGATTACATTTGTTTGTCTCAATTTTAATACCCATGTCCTTTTTCACATCTCAGGATACCACATTCTCAAAAATTTAGATTTTGGCAATTTCTCCCCTTATTTTGCTGTACATGAGGGTAGTATGTTAGTTGCACAGATACTCATCCATTTTACATAAAAGTATTTGCCTCTCTTGCGCCCAAACTATTTGCCTTGGGGAATACTTAAGTTGGAAACTTATAAGAGAAAAATCAGGCATTTTATAACCTCATTACAGGGCTCCCATCCAAGAACCACCTGGAACCACTGATTTACTTGCAAAACATTCTGTATTATTAGCTACAGTCCAAAGTAAAAGAAAAACAGAAAGATTCACATTGGAGCAAATTCCAGAGAGTCTAATTCAGACTGAAAGGCTACCATTGTTTATTTACCAAAAAGAGTTTGTTAAGCAAATGAATATGATCTGAGGGCTAAACTTCACGTACTTCTCATACACTAAACACAAGAAGATCTTCTTGTTAAAATGCAGAATCCCATTACAAGGTGGAAAACTCACTCCATTTTAAAGTGTCCCTTTAAATTTGGTTCAGTTTAGGACCCAAGAATTTACCTAACACGTTCCCACTTCATACTGCTGCTGTTCCAGGGACCACACTGTGAACAGCAAGTCCCTTACCTCAGTCACTGGAAAAGAATCATCACCAAAAACAGAAGCCCCAGTGATTCACTGCAGCAGGCCAGGCCAGTTAACTTGGACAGCTATCCTCTGTTTACCAAAACGTGTGCCAATAGTGTGAGTCACTGCTTCAGTTTTCAGCCATTGAAAATCTCCAATTCAGACTTTGTCAAGCCCTGTGTGAGGGCCTCTGGACTTCTGTCCTGCTCCATTCCCTAAACTATCTAATTAGACTCTAAAAACCAGTGTCCTAGTTTGTTCTTCATTACTGTGACAAAACACTCTGACCACTACCAACTTGTGGAGGAAAGGGTTTATTTATCTTACATCTCCCGGGTCACATTTCATCTGGGAGCCCAAGGTAGGAACTCAGGGCAGGAACCTGGAAGCAGGAGCTGGAGCACAGGCCATGGAGGAATGCTGCTTACTGGCTTGCTCCCCTGGCCCCTGCTCAGCTTGCTGTCTTATCCAACACAGGCCCACCTGCCCAGGGGTGGCACTACCCACAGTGGGCTGGGCCCTCCCACATCACTCAGCAATCAAGAAGATGCCCCACAGACACTAAAGCTATCCAGCACAACCAGTATTTGTTTTTTTTTTCCCCTTGAGGGAGTCCTATTCTTTTTTAATATTTGTTTCTTGAGCCTCTCTATGGGAGAATTGTCCTAACTGCCTCTGGTTAACATCCTCTGTCATCTCTTGGTTATCATGGTGACTAGGAGGGAGCAGACAATTCACTTCAAGGTTGCCTTTGTGGAGGGAAAGTGGCTTCCTCCTCACCCTGTTCTGTTGCCATAGCTGTCTGGTTCTTGCTAACCTACCTATCTACTAATGTTGTCTTCTTTTCTCACTGGGGGAACACATAATTACACATTACTCTTTTCTTCTCATTATCCATGTGCAAGTGTACATGGATACATGCAGGTGCACCAACTCAAGCTCCA